AACCAAAAGGAAACGAGAGACCTCGTTCTTCTTCACGATTTTCACCTCGTAGACCGGCTTCAGAAAGCGTGAAGCCGTGTGTTATGCCTCGTTGCAATCGATCGTCTAGTTATTCAATAGATGAGGTAGTGGCGCTGCCTGTTGCGTTTTCGCGTGTCGTGCCATCTTTCTTCGTCAGAGCGAACGATTATTACAATCGCCCTGATCAAGAGCGCGGGAAGTAAATATCTAAGGTAAACATTACCTCTGTCGTTACATTCAGTCGAACAATTGTTGTTTTAAAGTTGCCTCACGTGTAGTAACGCCATAATACGTGCCATTTTTAGAAAGGTAACAGTATCCAGTGATTTTTTCCGCAACTATTAATTTCTTTCATAATTTACTAGATCTTTCTTCCAAGATTTTCTACAAGCACAAGTCACGTGAAAGAAACAGTTCGTGACGTTCCGTTGAGATTACAATTGTTAATTTTATAGCGGTATATAATATTAATAAACGTTCGTGAAGCACATAAGTGAAACGATGTATAACCGCAGATAGGAAGGCACCGGTTTGTGAATACAGAAACTCAGAAAACTAAAACGAGCAAGATACACATTACCAGACATGATGCTGTTAACCTTATTTCCATCAAATACGTCAAATGGACAGGTTTTTAATTTTCTATTATTACAATTGCTAAAAACATGCAAATGCTTTGAGCAAAATTAACGTATTTTCATCATATGACTTTCATTGTAATTCCATGTATATAGTATATATAAGTACATATTATATCTCGGTAGTTCTAGTATTAAACAACGTGTTTCAGGGGATTCCGTCACGTTACCCTGGCCATTCTTTCGCGATAGTTTCATTCAGACGCATGCAGGGCGGTGAAAAAAAAAAAGAAAAAATGGTTGATGAACACAAAAAGCATCGGAGGCAATTATAAAGGAACACGTGATCATGATAAAACAAGAGTTCCGGCTAATAGCGTGTTTCCGGTTTACGATGGCAGGCTACGTGGCAACGAGGTAACGTAGGTACTCGCATGAAAGGTAAAAACCAAATCCTAATCAAGATCAAAGCCCTGGTAGAACAATCCCAACGATTTTAAATGACGTTACACTCGATCGATAATCTTAAGGATCCCATTCTAACGAGAAGAATCGATCCACGCGAAGAATTCGAATTAAGTTCCTTCGAGAAGAGAAGTACCTGAAAAAAGATGTTCAAAAACCAAATACTGGGTACAGAATATCAAATATCGAATTTTTCAAATATACTTGATGTTAAGTCGATGATTTTTCTGATTGTCTAACGCCATTTTGTAGAAGATGAGTATCGAATTTTCTTGAAGTTAAAAAAAGGAGTCCCGACATTCTGATGACCAGATATCAGGTTTCAAATGCTAAATACCAAATGTCAAATTCCGAGTACCAAGTACCAGGTTGATAATAGATACTGCCCGGATACGTAAAAACGAGAATTCGCTCCCGTTCAAGAAAGATATTTATAGTACGTAGTCAAGAAAGCTTGCACCAGGCTGCACCAGGATTCATTTGTCTCATCGACGAGCCGGGAAATAAATAGGATATAATTTATAGCGGGCATCGTATTTCAGACTGCACTTGCTGCACTCATTATCGCCCCGGAATACCCGTTTCTCTACGCCAGAGAAGGTAGCATCTGCACGTTGTGTCACGCGAAGTGCATCGAACAAGCGTCTGAGATAAATTCCTCGCGAAGCGAAAGAAATGGATCGAAGATTTATAATTCACGGCCAAGTCAGCCTGCAAGGACTTCAGGGGTACGCCAGACATATTTTTTTGGCATTTTTCTCGGTTCCCACGTGCCTATGCACCTGATCGAACGATCCCGAGGAAGGTCTTCTTATTGCATTCATTTTCTTTGTGCCTATGGCCTTCAAGGAACGTTTAAATCTAAAGATTCCCACCGAAAATCTTAGAGACACGTCTCGTGTATCATTAGCCGAATAGGAATGCAAGTTACCATTTAACCACAAAAGTGGCCCTTACGAAAGGCAAACGAAGGACCATCGTCCCTTCGATAACGTACAGCTGATCATTTGGAGAGGTCCAAGCTAAAGCAAATAGAAAGAAAGCTGGCTGCGACACAGGAAAGAGACGAATTCTTTGGTGGGGAGGGAAAAGAGACAATGTGTATACACGCTTGCGCCCGTACATGTGTATCCCGGAACGAAGGAGGGGCGTAATGCCTTAGCAAAGCAGCTTGTTCTTCGCATTCCTTCTCGCGGTGCTTGTCGCGTTCTCCTCCGTGCATTATATACAACTAAACTTGGTGGTCTCAGGTTCCTGAGAACCAAACCCCAGCGAGGACTCATAACGCCGTTGATCTCATGCCGTGTGCCGGCGCACCTTCTTCTCTACGAGCTCGCCAAGCTAAATAGAGTCCAACGTGACTGTCGTTATTCACGGATTCTCTTTTATTATATTTGCCTATAGAAAGGGAGCTAAGCTGCTCTTTCGTTGTTACGTCATGGTGTTGAGTTACCCGTTTCTCGATTTGGCATCCTCTTCCCCTTGTTCCTGGATTCGTCTGCTAGTGGAATACTTGAGTATCGGTACCAAGTGTCAAGTAATGAGATGTATAGGGTATATTAGGGTGTTCCCAATACCACGTGTCAAATATCGGATACCAAGAATGTCGAATACTGAGTACAAGACTAATACCGAGTATTCAAGGTTATCGAATACTAAACACCAAGTAGTGAATACCAAAAATTAAATACCAAATACCAAATATCGAATATTGAAAATTGAATATTAAATAATGAATATGAAGTGTATTAAATACTAGAAAACTATTAAATACTTAAAAGCTTTCGAGTACTATTATAAAACTGGAATACCAAATACGAGATAGTAAACAATCAAATGAAATTTAAACGAACTCGAATAGACATCTTATCGAAATGGATAAATATGGAATGTGGGTGGGTTAACATATGTAGCTTTAATATTCTGGGGGCGTGTGCAAATTATCAGAAGTGGAATACGTGAGTCTAAATCCAAACGACTGTTTCGCGACTGTCTGAGAATCGTGTTCAGACACGACCAAGCAGATGACTCATTAGAACGTCTTTTCCGTTGCACTTGATGAAAAGCAGATTTACATAACACTCAATGAACATTGTTAATTCATAACATCACATTAAATCAAATATACAATTAAATCAGAACATTATAAGACTTTAAACTACAGTTATATAGTTATTCATTGACACTAAAACAACAATCTTCACCAATCATCTGGTCACATTAAAAACTACCATGAATAATAAGCAAAACAATGGCAGGACACTTTAAATTGGAGTTAAATTAATACATGAAAAATTTTAAAACTTCAAAGGAGGCCGACTGCTGAACGGAAACATGGGATAGTTTTAATTACAGGAATCTCGACGAAAAGGATCAGATAAGTCACATAAGCCATCTAAAAGCCACACCACGAATCATAGATCATCTTAGGATAAGAAACATAATTATTGTCATTACGTCATTGTTCCCTAATAACGAGGAATCAGTGAGACTGACTTCCTCAATGAATATTCCCTAACGAGTTTCAAGGAAATCGATGATGCTTACGTGATTAATTGACAAAGAAGTAGGAGTTAAAGGAAATAGAGAGTCCAGAGGAGAAATACCGTGCCACGTGAATGGTCAGCAGACGGAATAGAACGAAAGAAGCGATAGTATTATATTTCGTTGCAAAGTTTTCCCGGTGGTCCACCTGTCAGCGTTGCACCTGCCTTCGTAACCACTTAATGCCAACGTTAATGACCATTCATGGATCGTTTGCTGCACGACATGTGGGCAATAAGGTGGAATGCGATTTATGCATCGTGCTAATATCGACAACATTGACGTTGCTCTTTACGTTTCCCTTTCCTTTTTTATTTTGATATAATTAATTGAAGGAAGTCAATCGATTCGTTTACCTCAAATGGAGTAATTAGTGAAATAACTTGCTACGTTCTCGCCTCTTATATACTTATTCATTTTACTAAAACTGGAATTAACTTTTTGCACTCGAAGGTTTTTCTACAATATAGAAGTAGTAACTCGAAATTTGTCTACTATAAAATCGATGACTTTTTTACAGTAACATACAAAAATCATATACAATTTAACACGAAACAAGTGGTGACTGAGAGTCGCTTTTCGAGTGCAAGAAGTTAATTATAGTTCAGTTTTTAATTAATTACTTATTAATAAGTATGTAATACTATTTCGAATTTTGGTATTTTTCTACATTGCATATTTATGTTTTTCGTTAGATATTACTCACGAGGACATTAGTTGAAACGAAAATATTAAGGTTCTTAAAGTGGTAACATAGAGGAACACGAGTTTAAATATTGTTCTTGAGCAATTTAATTAAACCTAGGGTAATTAAAAACTGGATATATTAATTAGATGGAAATCGATTATGAACGTGTTCTTTCACCTCGAAGGCCATTGACACTGTATAAATTAATCGAGGCTTCTTGTTTAAAGTCGTTCACATGACCTCCAGCTCGTACATGGGAATTTATTTTGCAATTCTTTCGGATCTCTTCAAGTGTATTGATTTGTTCCACGAATACAATGAGCCACATGAAAGAAAAAAAAATATTAAATTACCTTCTAATAGTTAATCCTTGTACCGCTATTTTATCATCGATTTCGAATATTTATTTCTTCTCAAGAATAAAGCTTTAATTTATCCTGCACTTCCTGTGTGGTTCTTCGAGCAACGAATCAACCTGTAAATAATTTCAGTCCCCAATTAAATCTGCTACACCTAATTAGTCGGGCCATGGATCAATCAGTCTCGTAACAGAAAAGCATTTTATATACTTATAATAAGCAATATTCAACTTGGTATGAAGTAAATATAAATATTTCATAAATTTATTGTAGTCAATTTTTTGTTCTAAATTAGAGTAACATTGATTTAAGAAAACCAACTTGACACCGTTATTTCATTTACAGATGCGACTGTGATCATAAGTGACACCCTTCAAGGCTACGACCCCCAGTTCATGGTTGGCTGTTACTTTCCCGCGGAATTTCAGGGTGAGTTCGTGACACAGGTGAGCGGAAAGGAAGCCAGCGATACGAGCAACGAGCCCATTCAATATTCCACCATCAACATCACGTTCAACGCAATCCCCGTGTGGGGTTATTGCCACAAAAGGGTCGGCGATAACGTGTTACTAATGGACAGGTGGGTCGACTTTGAAATCACTGAGTAATTTATTCGACCGGCCACGAGTCGCCACAATTTGCCCTTGTTTCACGATAACGTTTTATCCGTTTCCGGTACCGCTTGACCCTAACACAAGAATGGAGTATATCAGGTCATTCCATAAGTACAATGTTGCCTGTTGTTCTGCAGTTTGAATTTCTGAAACAAAATCGAATGGTAAGAGAAATTTACGATCAACAATGAGGAAGATTACAATAACATTAATACAAGGAACATTGATATATCATTGAAAATTATTAACTTCCTCATTTTATTCAGATCACTGCACAGTGCTAGGAAGAAGGAAAAATGCCATACAGTAGCAAACCTGGAGAAAGTAAAATGAATATTTTGCGTCAAACTGAGAAAAGTAAAACATAGTCTTAATACATTATTCGTTGATAAATATGATAGGTACAATTTTTTCGAGATTCAGAGTTACATATGTTAAACACGCTTATGGAATGTCATGATAATAATTGATACTTATATTATTAGTAGTTGCAATTTTATATCGGCATACGTGGAATAGATTATACTAGAAATAATTTAAGTTGAAGTAGTGTAATAAATATCCTTTAATGTTAACTTGTTTGTTAACGTACGTGACCTGAGATCTTTGATTTATAATGAAGGTAATGCGAATTTTCAAGAATATATTTAGTCCGCAAATGAACATAATTCTATGAAAGTCAAGTTGTAACCAAATCCGTAACTTAGTGAGTTACGGATTGCACGCTTACTTAATGCATCCTTAGGGATGTCCCGACATCTGCAGTGTGTCTGTGATAGAAATAGATCAGACTCCAGACGGTGTTGTTTGCATTTTCTTCTTTTGAGACTAACGATGTCCAATTGTATCTGAAATACGTTTATAATTAATAATTATTAATTATAAATGTAACTTTATTAGTAAAATTATTGAATCTAGGAAAGACGAGTTAATATGTATGTCATCATTACCAATATTTTAAATTTATTAATTTTTAGTAATTTTTAATTACTAAGAATCTTTTAACTTCAATCATCCTTTATATTTATGTTATGTACACGTTATATTATTTATTACATTTTTTATTTGCAAAAACTAAGATTGTTTTAAGTAAAATTAATTTGCTATTTATTATTTTTTAATTTCTTGTCAAAAGTAACTTTATATTAAAAGATATTTTTGACTTATTAACAAATTGATAATGCAGAGGTTTTACTAACATTATTGTTCTTTTTTGCGGACATTTCATCAATGAATTAAATTGGAAATCGATTTACATTTATTTCAGGTACGGTGATGGCGACTGCATCCGATGCTTCCGGTTGTTAAGGAGATCACGCAATGTTATAGAAGTGTTCTCAGAAGATCTAAATAGATGTTATACCTCGGAGGTCACTGCCTTGGCATCCTGTGATAAATTAAATTCCACGTCAATTTTGTATCGTAAGTGAAATCATTTCTTTTATTTAAATTTCAAAGTATGCTAAAAATATTTTATGTTTTAATTATATAATTGTTTGGTTATTTGCATAGGTACCAAAGAAATTGGAAATATTCCCGTTAGAAATGAATATTGTCCAATAACTGGCCAATATCATTTCAAGTACAATCTCAATAATGGATCTGATAAAGCTATAGAATGTAATAGCTTCTCATCTTCCTTCAACAATTGCCCTGATGGCTCAGTCTTAAGATTGCATTTCAATCGTTGCACCTTTGAGTCTCATAGTAATTTTATTACTAATTTTCTTGTTATTACCATTTTTAATGCATTCAAGAGAAAATTTATTTATTTTTAATGTTTCAGCAAACCTTACATTTAATTGTTTAGGCAATTGGCCTGGTCCAAATGGTTCTACTTATTTTGCTCTGATGGACAATAGTGCAGTATGTGAAGGTAGACCACAGTATAGATGTGGAGTAAGTTGAAAATAATATTTTATCAGTTTTCCACTGTATACCTTTAATTAATGAATTTCATTTTCAGTTGTTTTATGTTGACAATAAAAAAGGAAAAACGTATATGGCACTCAGTAGTGACTCCAGTTGTACCCAAAATTTAGATAATTCCACTAGTGGATATGAGACACTAGTACTCAGTAAGATTCCAAACCAAAAGAAGATGCCAAATTATGTGAAAACTCATGTAGCAACGTTAGTTCCTTTATCTTATTGTATTTAATCATTAAATATTTTTAATGATCTTATCATCATATAATTGCCTGTTATATTTAATTGATAAAATAAAAAGTACCATTGATTTAGATTTCCAAAATGGGCACAAGGTCTATGGGAGGAATCTCTTATTGTCAATGGCACTATGACTTTCACTGATTTAAATGGGTATAATAGTTATACGTTCATTACTGTTGATTCAAATGAAGAAACTGGCCGCTACATCGTTTATTACAAAGATCAATGGTAGGATTAATTAAAAAGGTATTAGAATGACTTTTCATATTCGTATCTCTAAACAAAAAATATTTTTAGTGAACAAGTAGCTTATGTATGTTTAATGATGAGACAACGAAGTGAAAATGTACTAGAATTCACAATAGGTATTTACATTTTTTGATAATTATATAAAACATTCATAAATTACTTAAATTATTCGATTCACGGAATAATTCCTTTTTTCGTATAGGAATGGTGCTAAGTCCAGTTTATCAAACTTATTTGTGTGATGATCCTAATTTAGATAAACCTGTTTGGATGACACAAGCTCGTAAGTTCATTTAAAAAGAACAATATATAAACTGTATATTACAATAAAAATACTAAATAAAATACGTTTGAATTTAGGTGTTGAGCGTGCGGTAGAATCGCCATGCCCGATTACTGGCCAATATATGGGTATGATAACTGATTTATCAGGAATGTGTGCTGAATTAAGTAGCAATTGCAACACTCGCGAAATAATGTATTTTAAAGTTACTGACTGTGAATCTGGAGAACTCTACGAAGGTATTTTCAAAATTTAAATAATTTAAATTTACTAAAATAATTATTTTAAACTTAACGAAAATGTATACTTTAGAACGAGCGTACTTGTGCCTAGGACAGTGGGAAGAAAAAGGTGTTATGTACACATATACTATGCGAAACGACACCAGTACCAATGAATGTTTCGTTGGTTTAATTGTAAATGATGAAGAAATATATATCAAAGAAGCGGGTGGTCATTGCATTAGAAATATTGATCCCAAAAAAGAAGGAATGCGTCTATATAAGAAGGGTAAGCTTCTGAACTGCTAATCAATATTTTATGTCAAAAATACATATCTAATAATTTAATATAATTAAATAGGTCAGTGTTATGGAAATTCTCCAAGTCCTGCACCAACCCCAATGAAACCAATTCCTCATAATCCAATAATGAGAATTGCTACAACTCCGCGATCAAGGATATCAGGTAGAAACGATGCTACTTTTATTTGTTGATTAATTATATTATATATTATAAATTTTATAATACCATTGATTTTTTCGTTACAATAGCAGGTACCACCAGCATATCAGGAAACAATATACCATCAATAGCTTCACATAAAGTTACGGCATCTTATGGTTTCGTAATATTTATAGTAGTAATTATGTTTTCTAAAAACATTTACATGTACATTTAGGTACTAACACTGCCATGATTAACAAACAATGAACTAATGAATGAATGTTACTACAGAACATAAAACGAGAAAATATTATTGACTTAAAACCGAGTCGTAAAAATTTCTTTGATTCTATCGAGGTAATATTAAATAATTGAAAAAGTAAATATTGTATATGAAATATATTTAAAGAACGACTTTATTACTAAATGACTGCATCAGGGAAACAAAAGTATTTTGGTACTTTTAATTCTATATAACAAGTAACTAAACATTATTATTGATAATACGAATATAGTCGTATTTCCGTCAAGAAACATCATTATAATTTATTTTGCATTTAAAAAATGCTTTTAATCAATATTGCTGTAGATACATAGATCTTCCTTATATATCAAATTTCCACCAAACACTGCCTTGTAAGATACAAGTAATACTAAACTGAAAACTGTATGTTGCTAGCAGAATCCAAAGAAATTCACGTTCGATATCCTTTGATTTTAACATATTTTTCATAATTGTTCACTTATATTAAATGGATCAAGTAGACGCAATTACTACTATTGATTGTTCAATGAGACTGACTAAATTAATAACACTGTACAAAACAGGCCACCAATAGTGAAATATATATTTTTCTTAAATTTGTACTTAAAGAAAAGAAAATAACTGTATTTTTCCTGATTAAAATACGTTTAATAATTTATTTCGATGAAAATTATGAATTTAAAGCAATATATAAGATAATCAACTTTAGAGTAATTTTTCTTTGTAATTACTTCTGAAAAAATAACTTAAAATAAGCAATAATAATATTTTACAATTTTTATGCAATGATTAAATTAAATTTAATATTAATTTTATAACTAGCAGAAACAAGTGAGATACTTGTACCTAAAATAGGATTTTTATGAGCAAATATCGTGTGAAGTGATTTACATTTTTATAAAGTGCTTTTATAACTCGTTTTTATATTTATATTGTAAATGTATATACATATGTATTTATAAACTTATACCTTATCTATTAATTTATAGAATCAATGGTATAGTAATACTTGCAATGTAGATAATACTTTTTCAGTCATACTGTGTATAAACTTAAACAATAAGTCCATCAAATGCCAAACTTTGTTTTTGTCAATTCTTTAATTTTAACAATTCAGCTCAAAAAAAATCATAAGTTTATAAGATTTAGTATTTTGACATCTGAATGGCCTGTACATTAAAAAATTGAATTATATTAAAATTTCGTAAATGAATCTATAGTTTAAGTGTTTTAATATTTATTTATTAACATTATAATAATTAATATTTTATATATCACTAACTGAGCGAAGTTTAATATGTTGTATATTAATACAAGATACTAAAAAATGCTACCTTTTTATACAAAACAATTATATAAATAACTATCTGAATGCAAATATAAAAATATGTGATTTTATGTATGTTTAATTTATACTACCATCTTAGAATATTATGAGTGCTGAAGGCCATCCAAACATCATAATGTTTCTGTTACAATATGCAAAAGTGCAATGAGATTAATTTAATTATATATTTATCGTATAATTGTAATTAAATAGTAGAAATTAGTTTTTATATGTACAAAAGTTTTTAATAATTTAGATACCAGATATTATAAATGTACATATTTTATACCTAATACTTGTATATGAAGAATAACAAAAATAATTTTTCAAGTAGTGTCTGCTTCTTTTTGCAGTATTTTATACAATTAGCCAATAATGTTTAACACATTTATGTAATGTTTAATTTTTATTGTATAAAGGTAAATAAATTTTTCGTTCATATTAACGAGCAATACATAATCTTTTACAAACACCAAAAGTTTGATACATAAGTTTATATACTTATACTACAAAATAAATATGTTTCAAATAACTAAATTTATACAAAATAATAATTTAATAATGTGTAAAGAAATAATAAATATATGTAAATATAGGACAGATAGCGAATTCAAGTATTTACGTATTTACGTTCATGTGTCAGAATACTTTCTTTAAGATTTGTTCCCCATTTATATTTATTGCTACCAGATTTGCCTACTACACGATGACACGGAATCAAATACACAATATAATTTTTCATTACTGCATTTCCAACAGCTCGACTAGCTGTTGGTTTACCTATATTCTGCGCAACTTGTTCGTATGTAACAGTTGAACCATCTGAAATAAGCATCAAAGCTTCCCAAACTTTTATTTGAAACTCTGTACCCTTCATGAGAAGTAAAATGGAATCATCGGTAGACACACGTTCGGAAAAAATTTTATGTACGATGTTATTTAGTTCATCTGTGTCATTTTCGATCAATTCGGAAAGAGGCCAATTGTTTTTTAATTCAGTCAACGCTTCTTCATTACTTTTACCGACAAATCCTAAATGTACAATAGCTTTATCAGTATTAGTGGTGCCAATTAAGCAATTTCCAAAAGGTGTCGAGTGAAAAGCATAAATTATCTTGAATTTTGTATGATTTATTTTATATTCTTGTCGGGTCATACTTCGAAATCGCACCATCGTAACAAATGATTCCAAACTGTAGGTATTACGAAAATAAATAAAAATATTAATAAACAATATTTATAAATATTATCTACTATTCTTACTATTCTTACACTAAATTCCGGTATTAAACACTGTTAAATTTTATTCAAATATTCGTATTAAAATCTTTGAAGTTAACTTTGCGTACTTGTTTGCTTTGAGATATAACACGTAATAAAGAATGATTCGTTGATTCGTACTTGCTATAATACACGATTGCTACGTGAGTCATATAAAGAAGTTAATATGAAAAATTAAGGTTTATACTCAATTCAAAAAACAAAATTTTAATTTTAAGTTTAACTTATGTTATTGAGAATTATAAATATATCTTATGTAATAAATAACTTATATAAGTTATATCGTGTAATAATATAATACAAGAATAATTAAATGGTCACGATAAATATATAGAGCTATGGATTTCTTAAAATCAATAACTATTCCTTTATTCTTTTCAAGTTAAAAAATTTAGTTTATTTTACCTTGAATTTAATATATTAATAAATAATTGAAATTACAGTTTTATTTTTAGTTATAGCATTATTACTTGAGATAAATAATATATTCAAAATAATAGTTTTAATAAAACCACTTCATTATTATTTTCCATCGATAATTATAATCAACTTAATAGTATTTCAAAAATACTTATGAAATAATAATATAAATGTTAAATAGGTTAAGTTTAATAGATTTAACCTAACTTAACCTAAAACATAATAAACACTTTTTATCACATATTTTTTTATCAAATTTTTATATCTTATTTTAGTCAGAACGTTATATTTGGTTTACAAAATGTATTATTTGCAAGGACAATATCATAAAAAATGAAATGAGAATCTACAATACGTATTTTCAAGGAGTGTGAAGATGACGTGAAATTTACAAATGTACAGGAATAACATTAAGAATTAAATGTTCGTATAAACGATTACTTTCTTGCCATACGCTTAATGATATATGATTTGATTTCATGTGAATTTGCATTGGGATTAACATTAAAAAATACTTTGCGCGACTTTGCGTCTGATAACAATGAATTCCACATTGGATATCTCTGCAATTAATAAAAATTGTTGTATAATATATTCTAAATATACCCTTTTCTTTGATCTATTTCCCATTGTTATAACAGTATATAATCTTACCATAAAAATGTTAAAGTTACCACACATTATTAGACTATGTTTTGCTCTCGTAAGAGCAACACAGAGCCTTTGTCTATCTGATAGAAATCCAATCTTTCGACTCCGTACACACGACATAATTATTATATCACATTCTTGTCCTTGAAAACCATCTACTGTATTCACCTCAATCTTCATTTTCTTTTTAATATTCTCTGGTAATGACGAAGTTCTAGAATAATTAAAATCAGTAAATTAAAAATAATAAAATCAGTCAATCATCAAATGATCAAAAGCAACAAATAATTCAGATGGTATTTACAAAATACTCGTGCTAAATGAAAAACTTACTTTTCACTAATTTTTGTTAATATTACAGATTTTTGATTATTATATGGCGTAAGAATACCACACGAAATATACGATTCCCAATTATCCAAATCAGCAAAAGTTAACATACAATAAATAATATTAGCTACAAAGTCCGCTTCTCCATCGTTCGAGTTATCATTATTCTGATTTGTATTTAAATTTAGAATTCGATATGCATAAAAAGGAAACTTCTTTTCCTGTTTAGTTGCATTTTTTAACTTGCCACCATAAAAAAATTTATTTGGCCAAGAAGAAATATCGGGCTGCATTCGATATTGAGTATCTAACATGATTATTGGATTATTTGGTTGTAATTCAAAGGCATTTTGGACCCGTGAAAAAATAGATTGATCCAATCCATATTTCTTTGCTTGTGTACTCAAAATAGTGGCAGGTAATTGATTAGGATCACCAACTAAAATTAATATATTAATTCCTAACATCAATGGTATTAGAGATTCTGCTTCACAACTTTGAGTAGCTTCGTCCACAATACACACAGATATCCTTTTCTTGTTGATACCAAAAATAGATTCCATTTGACTAGTATAACACGATGAAAGGGTGCAGGTGATTATATCTGCATGTTCAAGAATTCTGTTTTCTGTTGTACGTTGTAATCTCATATTTTCTTTGCTTTTTTCATTTATTTCGTTTGATGATCTGCGATTCTTTAGTAATTCATATTTTGTAGCCATTTCTGCCAGTTTCATTCTAATATGCTGTTTATAAACTTCATCTACACTATGAGAGTTAGTCAGTTCACACTGAAGGGCGTTCATCTTAGATTGTAAAAGCAACTTTTCATTTTCTATGCTATCAGATGAAATATTACTTGTATTGCCTGTTTTCCTAATATCTCGTTTTGCCAACTCAGTAACAGAAATATCTTTTACTGTTGGATGCATCATTTCTGATCGTCCAATACGAACCATTTTAAATGGTTTTATCTTTGCCTTCTGTTTTATACCAGCTCGTATGTGCAATAATCTTAAAACAATTTCATCAATGGCAGCATTTGATGGAGCACACACTAACATCTTGAAGGAACTTCCATTATTTGTATACCTATTATTTCCGTATAATATCTGGGTAACTATATTTACAATAACTTTCGATTTCCCGGTACCTGGTGGTCCTTGTATAAAGCACAGTTTGGTATCCTTTTGAACTACGGCTTTGGTTACCTTGCTCACAGCTTCTAGTTGTTTCTGATTTAATTTATCTCCAGTAATCAATGTCTCTAATTCAGAAACAATTGGTAACTGGTACATTTCTAATTTTGGACTTATGATTAAGTTTACTAGTGGTGAATTAGGAAGATACTGTAGTGCTTGAACCATTCGTAAACTAGGACGCAAACAAACAACAGCCCTTAATCTTTGAACTCGGTTTACTGGAATACTTTTATCAAAATGTTTTGTTGTCACAGTATATGTTAATAATGTATAAGGATTTTTTACATAATGTTGTAAATCTTTATTAAAACGAGTTAAAGGCGTTAGTACTGTTGAATACACATTAGTAACATATGCAAACACTTTGTAGAAGGACTGTCCTTTGTTATGATTTTGAGCATACTCAAAAAATACAAGATCTCCATAAACAGGATGAATTTGCCTTCGTATATCTTCTTCCGTAGCTAATATTTCGAGCATCAATGTTGTAAAAAATATATTGTTTGGAACTATGTTTGTTTGAATAGAGTTTTCAACTACTGAACACATGAATGTGGGTCGTTTATACTTATGATCTGTACTCTGAAATTCTTTAGTGATTCCATGCCAAATTTCTAGCAACAAAAGTGGACTTATAATTTTATAATACTCATCATATGATTTATAATGAGTTAACATCACATTAAGTTCTTCAGGCTGTATAACAGGTGCATCTTGATTCAAATATTGCTGTACTTCTAACCACACTGGATTCCAGCATAAAATGCGCCACAAAAAGTGATTACATTTTGCATTAGATTCTACAATATTTCTTGGCTTCTTTACCGCAACTTTTTCTAGAGGTATTGGTGCATCTTTTCCCGTTATTTTTTTTAAGACATTTAATTCATCAATTTCATATTCACGTACAGTTTGAATCACCGCAGAAAAAGACACTCGTTTTTTCGATTTGGGGATTGGTGATTTAATATTTGACTTAAAAGGTACCAAAGATTCTTTCTCGATAGATTTGAGAGACTCTGTGTTTGATTTACTTTTTAATTCACTATCTTTCATTTCAATTACCTTATCCACTTTTTTTTCTAATGAAAGGTCTTTTAACGCCGCTTCGGCTTCCGCAGTGTTTGCTTTTATCTTGGTAGTACTAGATATTTTAGGGATCTTACCTAAACTTGAAATATCATTAAGGGTTAATTTATGCTGCAAATGCATTGTTATTTCTTTAGAAATGTTTTTATGTTTTGAAGAATTAGTTATCTTGAAGTTTGGAGAAGTATCATTTGCCGATGCAGATCGACTAGACGTAGTCTTAGATTTCTCTGTTACATTTTCCGATTTAGTTGCAGAGATGGTCTCCTCGACGAGAAAATCATTTCGAGTCTTTGCTGTTATTTTTGCTTTTGGTTTAGAAACAATACGTTTCTTTTCATGGTTATCGTCTAAAGACGTTTGTTTTTCGTCCATTGCAAGTTTCTTTAATTTCATTTTTCTACTGTCTGACAATGCTTTTTTTTCTTCCTTAGAAAGATTACCTGATCTTTTTTTCCTAGGAGGAAGACAATCAGCCCATTTATGAATTACTTTACGATTTTTTTGTTCTTTCGCGTGTAAATATCGTTCTACCTTTAATTTTTGTTGTTGTTCTTTCTTTTCTTTTGTACTTAATTTCTTTTTATGTGATTTCCCAGACTTTTCAGTTTTTTCAGAAATTTGTTGAATTTTACTAGAACTATTGCTTCGTCTTCTGGTAGGCAAGTGTGGTGGTTCAATTTGAGGTACTTTCTTTTCAAGTAATTTTTTTTTCTTTGTAGATGTAGTTTCTGCTTTATTGTCACTCAAAGTATTGATATCATTTTCTGTCTCTTTATGCATTGGAAGCAAACTCTGATTTTTTGGTAATACAGAATGTTTCTTAGTACTGCTTATATCATTAGAAGTTTCTACTAATTTTGCAGTGTGATCTTCAAAATCAACTTCCATTCTCTCTGGAGAACCTTCAGATGAAAATATTTTGTTTAAATTTTTCACACCTTGCAACAATGTATTTTGCTCTCTATTTGTAGATTTTTCTGCTTCTTTTTCGTCATCTATATTAATTTTTATATCATTATTTAATTCAAATTTATTTGGAATTGTTTTTTCAATATCGACAGTTTCTGTATAAATGTTTTCCTTTTTTATATCATTCTTCCTGTCTACATCTATTTCATCATTTTCATTCAATATTTGACTTCGAGATAACCTGTGCAACCAATTATTATCTTCATCTTCACTATCTGTTAATGAAATAACTAAATCCGCATCATCGACTATACCAAATCCTTCATTTTCCGCTTCTATAGGTTCTTCTTTAATTTCATCTTTTATAGATGTATTCATACCATATCCAACATCAAACAATTGAGAGCATGGAAAAATATCATCTTCACTATCGCTTAAATTTACTACATCATCTTCTGAAAATTTTGTTTTTGGTTCTTCCTGTATTTTCTTTAACTTTATCGGAGACACAAATGGAACTAAATTTGTATTTGAGGAATTTAAAATAGCTTTTTCATCAGTATCAGTTAATTGCAATTCATCTTCCATTTTTATCATACCATATTCATTATGTACAAAATTTAAAGGCAATAGCGATAAATTTTCACTGTTATTTTCAACAATAAATTCATTTGCTTTATTAACTGAATTTGGCTTTTTAATTTCATTTATAGTATTATTTATTGTATTATTGCCTTTTGTATTTTCTTTTGAATTGTTTTTTAAATCAAAATTTATCTCTGCATTATTATTCTTTACTATATTCTTAGATTCAAAATTATAAAAATTGCTTATGCTACTCTCTATACCTTTAGTATGCAATAAATCATTTTCAGTATGATTTTGAATCTCTTGAGATTCCTTCTTACTTTTATGAGTAACTGAAATTTCTTTTTTGTTAGCTTTTCTTTGTACAGAATTTGATATAGGTGATACCATATATTCACAATTTATTAATTCATCAGGTTCCACTTTATTGACCATTGATGTGTCAATTTTTGTATTATTTATATTGCTACTTGATTCGTACATATTAATGTCTATATGATCCTTTACATTTAATTTATTATTTAATTCAATTTTCTTTGTAAAGTTACAATTTTTGTCATTTTCACCTGGTAAACTACTATTCAGTGAAACATGAATTATTTCAATATCATTTTCATCTGTTGTTTTACATTTCTCTAAAATTTAAATAACCATTTGCATTATAAAAATAAATTTATTATTTCTTTTATGTAAAAGAGAACAACATACTACCTTTTAAAGAATTTTTTTCAAGGATGCAACTTTCACCTTCTAACTTAGGAATTTTGCTTGGTAAAATTTTTATATCTTGATTTTTTTCTTCTCTTTTACGTTTAATTATGTTATCAGATTTATCACTACATGTGTTTTCAAAATTTAATACAGTTTCTGAAAATGTATCAATACTCTGATTTTCTCCTCCAATTTGTGGCTGCTGAAGTCATATAAGATTTTTATTTAATACATATTTTGAGAAAATTATCAAGATAATAAATTAAATCTTACAGCAATTGCATGCAATTTATATGCATACATAATATTGTCTGTAATATCAACATTTGGACAACCAATGCCAATAACATCATTTGGATACAATTTAGTTGTTTGAAAAGGTTCTTGAGGAATTCCATTTATAAATAAACCATTTGCACTCTAAAAATAATTTATCATTATTAAAGGAAAATGTTATAATATTACAATATATTAATTTCAATTTATAAGATATACCTTTAAATCTGTAACATATAATTCATTTTTGCTACGAAAAAAGATACAATGACGCCGAGATACTGTCAAACTATGGCATATTATTTGATTATCTTTGGCTCTGCCACAAGTGTACTGAAAATATATAACATATAAAACAAATATTTCTATCGTTGAACTAGTTTCTTTGACATTTAAAATACTTTATTTAGGAACAGCATTAGCTTAAAATCTTGTAAAAAGAACTGTCAAGACCTTGATTTATAGAAACATGATAAATTAGGAAAAATAATTACAGAAACAAAATTGTTTCACATGTGTCTTCTACTTATGAAAGTCTTATAATAAACATTGTATGCTCACTGTATGTTCTGGTTGATCAAGCACAATTGTATGCGGAACATTAATACGTTCTAATATAAATTGGCAAGTGTCGTTCGCACCCATTTTAAAAAATTGGTTTATTTACAAGTCTCCTGATCCACTAAATAACCTATTATTACATTATTGCATTTAAAACATTTTATAGAAGTTCCTGTTGATAGTCTTAGACATGTAATAATCTTAATAAAAATTAACCGATATATTGCTTTTTAACGTTATTTTTATATAAAAACATTTTCATAAAACAACCACATGCATTGACGTTTACCGCCTTCTCCGATTGAAAATTGCATATATGCCATAACACATAGCCTTACTACAAACAGCGACATCTATGAAAAATACGCATCTTCTAACTACACTAATAAAAAGTTTCTTTGTTTAGCTGCCACAGGGTTATTTACAATAGGGGATTTTTGTAAGTGTTTTAACATTGAAAAATATATAACAAATTGAACAAGATTATGTTATAAGTTATGTTTTATTTTGATGGGATCAATAAAAAGAATAAATAGACCATCAGTTCCTTTATTTTGTAAAATTAGAATTATTTATAGTAGTGTATCTAGTCACTTGGATGCCACAGTGGCGTTAGATAATAGTAATAATTTAAATCATTTTTCTAACTTGTAATTTAATGTGATAAAAAAATGTTGCATTTGCATTATTAGTAATATACATTACATTCTGTCAAAAAATCAAAAAATAAGGCATAATGTCAGAAACGATTCATCTTTACGACTTATCAGTACATTCTTTTTATTTGAATAGGATATTAACAAACACAAGTTCCTTTTCCCAATTTTAATAGAAAAATAATTGTGTCTATTTGTGTTTGTATTTTAAAAGAAATGTTTATAGAATGTTGCAGTTTCTCTATCATTATAAAAGCGGTAGCATCGGTTAGTTACCGACATTTTCTCTCAATAGTAGCATCTAATTGTAAGTATTTCTCGTACCTATTTTAATAACGCAAAAGTTATAAAAGCCAAGTTAAGGTGACATGGCGTTTTAATATATTTGAAAAAGATGTAAATATAATAATAAGGGGAGACAAATTCGTCAATTTTTTTAATAATTACAAAAATTGATATGCGCGTAGAAATTTCAGTTATTTTTCTAGAAGTTAAATACTCATATGATATATATGAGGTATTTGATCTCAAGTTAATTCGTTTTTCCATCCACAATCTTATATCATAAGTTACAAAAGTACTTACAAGCATTGGAAATGTAAATGTTGAAATGTTTCAGTACAATTGCATCTCAATAAATTTCGAAAGTATTACTTGCATTAATAAAACTGAATACATACTTTAAATTCAGAGAATTTAGCGATGTATGATAAATAGTAGGTAAGAAATATTGACAAAGGTTTGAGTCATATGTAGTAAAAAAAATATTTTCTGTTTTTACGTTTTTGAGAATTATAGGCCTCTCGTCGTTGCGAAAGAAGGACGACCAGTTTTCAGGACACGATGCTCAGTAAGCACTTTCAGTTTCAGTTTCACTGATGAGAAAAGGTTTAGTGAGCCAGAAAAAGAGAGACAGAAGAAGAGGGTGGAGACCCGTATGGAAGAAAAGAAACAATACAACCATAATATTTGGATCGTTGTTGAATGTTCTGCAGGACATTGATTTATATTGCGTACTAATCAGATTTAAATTTTTATTATAAATCCATATGTGCTTAATATTGGCAGATAGTAATTAACCTTAAAATGAAATGCAATAGTAGCATCTTCATAGACAATTATTTTTTTATGTATATATTAAAAAGACAAAGGTTAAAAAAAGGTTTGAAGAACCGTGTGTAAGGAGTATGATGTACCAAAGTTAACACTGATTTATAGTTGCATTTCTCTGATACATCGTAAATGATGTTCCGTTCAATTTCAGTTTCGTTTCATTCACTCGTCTTTCCCTTTTCTTTTTAATACTTACCATGTCAGTCACTTAATTTAAGATAAAAATAATTTGGCTATAAATAAGAATGATTTATTATTTTTACTTCAATTCCTAATTTACGTATCATTTTCAAATGAAAAATATTTTTACTTGCTTAATTTTTATACGTAAATTGAGTAATTTTAAATTTATTATACATTATGAAATTATGATTAAATTCCATTATATCGAAACTAACTCGGTATTAATCATGCCTGTGTTATTTAAATCTAAGATTCAGTCACGATATTCTTGTGTTAAAACTATAATAAAGTTTAATTTAGATCAAATTAAATCAATTTAAATTTTGAAATTTCATGATAAATTCTTAGTTAAGAGTAGAACTAAGTAATATAAAATCGGACTAAATCTTGATTAAATTTTTCTAACTCAGTTATAAGCACTAGATGTGATACCATTTTAAAAGTAAAGAGAATATAGCGGTAACCTGATTCCATTTATTCGTATCATTTCTTCAAGAGTTTTATCTCGATGCGATGTATATCGCGCTTAAAGTAAGTATATGATACTTCTTTTGCTGTAAACACGACTTTACCTGTAAAAAGTACACTTACTCGAGCAATTACCAGGCATAAAAGAGAGATTTATGTGTTTTTCAAAAAGTATATAATAAACGGATAAAAAACGAGATGAGATATGAACATATTACCTGTTTAGGGTATTCGCCTACTTATGTAACATTTTCATCTTGATCAAAAGCATGAGTAAAATTCGATTGTCACTCTTTCAATTCAGGCACGACCTTGATACAGATATATATTAAGCAAGGCTTGAATAACCATTTGAAAACTGAACTTGAAGACCAGGATCTCTGTTAAAGCAAAGTACGAGCGTTATTTGTTAATTCTCCAAATACTTAAATTTTTAAATCGACAACTCATGAAATAAATGGTTTTCTATATTTGCAACACAATTATTGATATCTGGTTATAAAAAAAAGGTATAATTATGAAGCTAATTACGAAACTTGTGATCGTTATGTTATTTCTGAACCGACCTGTATTACTGTTAAATTACAAAATTAAAATACAATCGCTGTTATGATTGTAACGTGTAATACATATTTTTTTATTTATTTTAACGTTTTAACAAATAATTGAATTTGTACGCGCACGATAATCCTGTAGCATTTTTAAATCCTAATACTACAAGAAATACAATTATAATTGTATCAAACAAAAATGAGAGTTTCAGATTACTAAGAAAATAATAACGAAATAGAAATAAAAGAATTACTGATAAAAGTCGGTGAGTAGATGTCATTTGTTGGAAACTCGATCTTCCTAAATTTTATTTTGGTTTTAATAGTTCTATTTTTCGTTCTAGAACTGTCCCATAAGGAAGCCTAAGTGTGACGTAAGCTGCTCTAAAATTTTCAATAAAAAATAAGCATGTCGTTGAAAAGCATAACAGGAGATCACCTTGATACCTTTCCCCTGAAAAAATGAGCATGGCGAACAGTCGTAACAGAGTTGGCAATACTCTAGAAGTTACTTAAATAAAAAAATAACGTCTATTATTTTTAATACTAAGTATCTTCTATTTGAAAGGTATCTTCGTACCTTTTACCTTCTAATCTTTAGAATTACGAAGTTATAGTACTGTTTAGTTATTGACTCTCTGTTTTCTCCCATTGGATAAACGTGGAATAATAAGATTTCGTACAGTCAATTCAGGAAATGTTCTTTTCTTTTCTTTCAGCAAGAAATCGCGTAATTTAGCGTTAGCATTTCGTGAGTGATGAATTTTACACGGGCCTACGTGTACATGAGATGAATAGGAATTCGATTCCAAAGGCGCATCGACCCAATTGAATTTACTGTTTTCACTTTCAGACGCCTATAATCCTTTGACATTCAAAACTGCTCCATTCCATTCATCAATCTTCGATTACTATACATAGCGAGTAAATCAGTGTCAAATTATTTTTTCAACGAATCCTTGTAATCGAAGCGGCTAATATATACATGAAACAAAAGTAAAATATATGATTAAAGAGAAAACTTTTTATCTCTATTAGTTCAACGTTATTCAATACAATTATGTAATTACTAAGATGAACTATCCCTCGAGAATGATTAAATAAAAAAAACTGTTACTACGAATAAATAAAGCATGTATTATGCATTACCCTGATACTGGTTATGTTATTTATTAATATGTTACTTCGATATTGTGTTTAATTCCATTTCAATAAATACACCAATGTTACTTGCTAATCTTAACAAGATCCAAATGGTCATAATCAAAAATCAATAATAAATGATATGAAATTTAAAAATAACTAAATTGATTATGGTACTCACATCATTTCATTGCTATGTTATTAAGTTATTTTTAGCAACTCCTATTATATATGCGATTTTTGTAGTATTTCTTAAATGATTTCTTTTTGACATCGACTTTTTGTAGTGGAGACGATGATTGGGAGCCCCTAATAACTAATCTAAGATTGCGAAATAGTGAAATTAGCGTGTCATAGAGACAGGGAGATGCATAACTATCAATTCCTACGAGGGAGCAAGTTTCTCGAAGATTGAACACGTGGAGGAGTAAAGTAGATCGACCCAGTTTTGGTCAACTTTTGAGCCTTTGTTCATATGGGAGGGGTACCGGAACGATGGTTCTGTGAGAAGGGGTCCCCTTTACTACCACGTGGCCATATAAGCAACGTCTGCTGCCACTGACAGGACAGAGTCTTACACCCCTTCGTCGGTTCGCACAACGTTTCATTTTTCGGCGACCAAGGTAACGTTGTCTAAGACTATGAGTTGGTCATAAAACTTCTTAATTTTATGCTTCTGATATTTACGGTATACGTTCCAATTGTTATTTGATATCGTCTTTACTTCCATAGTCTTTATCTGAACTTAAAAACTCCCAGATATATATAATAATGTGACATATGTTGAGGAAGTTATGTTACATCAATAGTTCGTAATGAAGACTGTTTTTTCTGAAATATCAATCCACAAGGTAGTGCTGACAGGAAACTTTTTAAAAAAGTACCAGTAAAAATTTAGAAATTGATATCTTTAGATGTTGAAATTAAATTGTCTACATTCCTTGTTTAAAATAAAAATATTTTTTACATATTTCCACATTCATCTCTTAAAGATTTTATAATTGCATTGTAGCAGTTGCCGAGTGTAGAATTAGAAAAAAATATTGAGCTCGTTGTTGTACAAAATTTTATATTGTATTTATCGTATTATGGCAGCATGCAGTTTGGAATTCTCTTCGTCACAGTGGCAGTTGCACTGCTGCAGAGTGGCTATGGTGTTTATGTATCCATCAGGATGCCGTACTTGAATCCAGCAGGAGTAACTTATATAAACAATATTGAACCGCAAGCACAGCTTGCCTACAGCGTTCCCGGAAAAATTGAGGCTCAGCACATCGGATATGCTGCCGCCCAAGTACCAGCATTGGCTGCTGTACCTTACGTTAAACACGTGCCAACTGTGTCTCATGTGCCAGTCACAAAAATTGAAGCTCAACCTGCTCTTCTAGAAAAACAATTAGACGTAGTAAAACCAGCCGTTTCCACTCGTAAATACGAAGTGAGTAATTTTCTAATTCAACAAGTTGTTTTTTTCAAAGGTTCTTCTTCGTTCTCCCTCGCTCCTGTACTTTCTTTGTCATTTTTTCTTTTTAATTTATATTTCACTTAGAACCTTTTATCAGTTTCTCCCATATTTTGTTTCGTTTTAAGATATTAAATAAGTAACGCTCTTGATTAGGTACGTCGTCCCGCAATCCAGAAACAATTCTTCGACATTGAAGAACGCGTCGTTGTTCGTCCAGCTGGATCAGCTGTAGTTGAACTTGATCAACCAACATCTAAGACACAAAAAGGACCAGCTCTAATTCAACCTCTATTCCAACAGTTTGAAGCAGCTCCAACTCTTCCATCTCAAATAGCATCTGCCTCTCCATCTGCCAACAATGATGAAACCGTTGTTGTAGAAAACCCTGAATTGCGTAACCTTGGAATTCAAAATCAATTTTCAAATCAAAACCAATTTCAAAATCAAAATCAGGTACGATTTAATCGCTATTCTTTTTATTTACAGAAACTTATTGATTGTTTCTGCTGTAGGTCGGCGCAACCCCGTCGTTTCCTCCGCAAGGAAGGACTAGTTTGAACAGTGCACCGTCGACTGAACCTTTTGTTGCCCATGATCCTTCACCAAGTGTTGTCGTCAGCCCAAAATCCTCCCCTGAAGAAGATAAACAAAACCAAAATAGATTGATTGAATTACTGACTGCTCGTGGCAACGTTGCTGAGGTAATTTAACAAATACTACTAAGAAATAAAAATATTATGATGTTTACTCTCTTCATTTATAAATTGCTTGCAAACTACAAAAGGATTCTGAAAAGAATTTTAAAAAAATCTTTATATTTTTGTAGGTCGGATTCGGTCGCAATGGTGTCTCCCAATCCGTAGTTAGAGATGCTGCTCAAGTTCGAGGTCGAGTAATCTCTGCCACTCCAGCACCAGACTATGCAGAACCAGCTGACGAGCGCGTTTCTACACG